CATGCCAACAGGAACTGTCTAGTCAACAACACATTATGTTGTCTGACTGACAGTAACCTGGTCTCCTCATGCAAATGATCCATATTCGTCATCTTGACACAACCGGTTGCGATTCGAAGTGCATTATTCTGAGCCGTTTGTAAACCTCGCCATTGGGTATCACTGAGGAAAGAGGTCCACACTGGGGCAGCATAATTGAGAAGAGAGCGACCTATAGCTTTATACGTCGCTACAATCGTCTCTTTATCCATGCCCCAAGAGATAAGGATTTGTGGACTAGGACAGTTTTCGGATGAACTATTATTTAGAGCAATAAGATATTAAAATATGTATGGGGGTCCGCAAAATTAAATAAATTCCTTAAAGGGTCCGCGAAGTAAAAAACGGTAGGGACCGCTGGTTTATATCATCTAAATCTGTTTCTACCTTTACATGTTAAAAAGTCAGTTGCACATCCTTTACATATGTCACATGTTAATTATTGTATTGAGATTTATACACGTTGTAACATGACTAATAAAAAATAATTAAATTTATTGTGCATAAAATTATTAGATTTGTATATGAACTTAGAGTAAAAGCTCATGTTTCCTCACACTTGAAAAATTGTTTGAATCTTGACTTTGATGATTATCTTAAATTTCGCTTGTTAATATACCTATATAAAATCATTAAACTTCAAATATCCCAGCATATTGTACATAAAATATTATTTACATGATCTTTTACATTATCAGTAATGACCTTCAAGCTAAGAATTCTTGATCTGTTTCAATCCAATAATTTTGGCTGATAATTAGGGTACATTGTTTATCTTATTTTTATATTTTATATAAGTATGTATTTGTAGGGGTCGTTAGGAGGAATGGATGTTCTCATAGATAATAAGAATACTTGTAATATAATTTTTATTGGCCAAGTAGCTGAATGTATTACATTTGAATAAATCCTATATATATATATAAAACAGACTGTTTGTTTGTGTGTTTGTTTGTTACGCTTTCACGGCAAAACTTCTGAACCGATTTACATGTAATTTGGACCGCTAATAGGTCTAGCCCCAAAAGGAACAATAGGCTATATAAGATCTTGATCGGATGCCACGCCCCTTTTACGCCCACTTTTTGTAAAACTATTATTACACCAATTTTCCAATCACAATATGCAAAAACTACTAAACCTAAGTACTAAGTCTGAAAAACTATAGGCTATATATAAGAGTGATCCGATGCCACGCCCCTTTCTACGCCCACTTTTTATAAAATTATCCTTACCTATATATTATCCTATAATTATATGAAAGAGAATGTCTGTTTGTTACGCTTTCACGGACAAACTACTGAACTAGCAGGGTTTCAAAAACCTGCTAATTGCAGTCGCAAATTACTAAATATTTGACTAAATTTAGTACCATGCTTAAAAAATAGTAACTCGTTAAAATTTCCCCTTACAAGCTAACTGAAGTCCTCAACTGTGTCAACACATTGCTGCAATAACTTGCAAGTGGTTTTGTTTTTCTTCAGCAGCCACACACACAAGCAGCGGCCATGTTAAGTTTTTCAACTCAGCCGAACTGAACACAACGACTGAACAGTAAAAACAGTTTTGCGTGTGCTGCTTACGTATTGCTTAGTTCTTGGTTTCGTTTTCTTACTAAGGGACGTAAAAAAACTGATAGTTTGACTGGTTAGTACAAATCAAGCCGACTGAACAATTAAACTTGATGGGTTGTTTGTTCATTAAGACTTTGTTATTGTATGCAATTTGTTTTAGTATATTGTATGTTTTTGTGTTTAAATTTGACAAAAGTAAACAAAGTAGTTGATAATTAAGAAATTGTTAATTAATTTAAAATTTATAAAATTATAAATTACTATACTTATAAATTTAGATATTTTCTTTAAATAAAAATTGATTTAAATTTAAACATTTTGATGATTTTTTAGTGAGATTTTGTTATTGTATGTATATATGTATATTAGGGTGGGTCGAAAATAGGCTTTTCGCTCGGATCAACATCTAATAGTGAAATTATGTTGTATTTTAACGTGAAATGGAAGACTGTAAAATATTATTCAATTATTTTGAGGGTAAGAGCCCGCGCATCGCCGCCAAAGTTTGTAAATGCGTTTATATGGGAAAATGGCACTTTTTGGAGTTTTTTCACAAAATGATGCTTTAAGTATTAATTATTGCACCATTTTATAGCAAAATCGTAATGTCTACAAAATTGTCTTTCCAAAAAGATGGAAAAACTCAAAATTGGTTAAAAAAGTTTTGAGTTATTAAAATTTCCCCCGAGAATTTTGTGATTCTGAAGACATATAAAAGTAAATATAAGAAAATTTTTGTTAGTTTTGAAAAATTTTACAAAAAAATATTATGTTTATCTTTATAAGGTTCATAAATGTGCTAGTACGAATTTTTGTTCAAATTGGATAACGCTTACTCGGTTTAGTCTGTGGTCAAAAAAGGGCCATTATTTTAACAGCATATCCAAAACTCCATTTTCAAACTTTAAAAATTTTTGTTAAATGGATTATTAAAAATTAAAGTTTTCTATGCTGGATATTATAAAGGATATATATAAGAATTAAACACAGAAAGAATGAGCTTAATTCCTCTCATAGTTTTACCGTACCTGCGATGTGAATTTGAAGGATTTCGGGAAAAAGGCAATTTTTGCCAATAATTAAGTAAAAATTATATTATTACCAATTGTTGCTTAATTTTGATCAAGTAAATTGCGATTATTATTTCCGAGTCCATGGAAAGTTAGTTCTAATCAAATTTTCGAAACTAAAAATCATTAACCCTCTAAACACCGGGGTCAAAATCAAATTTTTGAATTTTATGTTCTTGAAGAAATAAGAGCATGATGTTGTTAATTTGTTGATGGATATTGATGAAACTTCTTAGAAGTTATTTTTACTACATTCAAATAATACGATAAACCAAATACTGGATATATATCCATTAAATCTTTAAGAAAATTAATTTTAGAAAATTCCTTTTTAAAAGTGTTTTTTGTAGTGCTTAAAAGAAGAAGTTTGATTCCTATATTTCTGGATATATTTTCGTGTAGTTTGTCAAAATGAATTCATAATTAAAATTAAATACACAATATTTTGCTATTTTTAATGAAGAATATTAAATATACAAAAACTTGATTTTGTCCCCAGTTTTTAGAGGGTTAATGATTTTTAATTTCGGAAATTTTATCAGAAATAACTTTTCATGGACTCGGAAATAATAATCGCAATTTAATTGATCAAAATTAAGCAACAATTGGTAATAATATAATTTTTACTTAATTATTGGCAAAAATTGCCTTTTTCCCGAAATCCTTCAAATTCACATCGCAGGTACGGTAAAACTATGAGAGGAATTAAGCTCATTCTTTCTGTGTTTAATTCTTATATATATCCTTTATAATATCCAGCATAGAAAACTTTAATTTTTAATAATCCATTTAACAAAATTTTTTAAAGTTTGAAAATGGAGACAATTTGGTAAGACAATTTTGTAGACATTACGATTTTGCTATAAAATGGTGCAATAATTAATACTTAAAGCCTCATTTTGTGAAAAACTGCAAAAAGTGCCATTTTTCCCATATAAACGCATTTACAAACTTTGGCGGCGATGCGCGGGCTCTTACCCTCAAAAAATTTGAATAATATTTTACTTCTTCCATTTGACGTTAAAATACAACATAATTTCACTATTAGACGTTGATCCGAGCGAAAAGCCTATTTTCGACCCACCCTAATATACATACATACATACATACAATAACAAAATGCTTGAATTTAAATCAATTTTTATTTAAAGAATGTATCTAAATTTATAAGTATAGTAATTTTTAATTTTATAAATTTTAAATTAATTAACAATTTCTATTAGCAATAATTATCAATTACTTTATTTACTTTTGTCAACTTTAAACACAAAAACATACAATGTACTAAAACAAATTGCATACAATAACAAAGTCTTACTGAACAAACAACCCATCAAGTTTTATTGTTCAGTCGGCTTGATTTGTACTAACCAGTCAAACTATCAGTTTTTTTTACGTCCCTTAGTAAGAAAACGAAACCAAGAACTAAGCAATACGTAAGCAGCACACGCAAATCTGTTTTTACTGTTCAGTCGTTGTGTTCAGTTCGGCTGAGTTGAAAAACTTAACATGGCCGCTGCTTGTGTGTTTGGCTGCTGAAGAAAACAAAACCACTTGCAAGTTATTGCAGCAGTGCGTTGACACAGTTGACTGACTTCAGTTAGCTTGTGAGGGAAAAATAAATACTTGAACTTTCTTCAGTTCAGTCGACATTTAAAAAAATAAAACTAAAAACTAAATATTAAACCCTGAAATTTAGAACACTAATAGTTCTATTCTAAAGTGATAATTTGACGTCACGATTCTTCTTATTCTCATTTTTTTTCTATATAATTGTCATACAAAATTTCCATTCGAGACTTACAGAAAACTACTGAACCGATTTACATGAAATTTGGTATACCAATAGGTCTGACCTCAGGATCTGGATTGGACGCCATGCCCCTTTTTACACCAACTTTTTGTAAAACAATTATTAAACCAAATTTACGTTCAGGCATACTAAACAAATTCCAACTCTTATTTTGGAGATTTGTTGCTTTTGTTTTTACTTTGTTAAGAAATTAACAAAGTTGTTCAATAACAGAATTGAACTATGCACACAAATAAAATAGAGAATTTTATTTCTACTTACGTGTTGGTTGGTGGGAATTGAAACACTTTTTTTTTTTTTTGTTTTATTTTTTTTTTTTCAAATAATTGGAGCACCGGGAGTGCGTTTTATTTTTTTGTTTTTGTTTTTAATTTATTTAAAAAACACCACTTTGACCGGGAGTCGTTCGGGATGGTTAATAATAAGCCGATCCTCTTCGGCGCCAAGCCCGGCTTCCTCGTAACACTTCCTAAAATATTGCCTTTAGGAAGTGTTTGGAGACCTTCAGTCAAGGTCGGTAAGGCCGTCGTCGAAGTCGATAAGATCGTCATGGAGATCGATCAAATCGTCTTCAACGAGGCGTGACCGGACTTCGACATGCCGGCCTCCTTGCACTGGTGCAATTGTCGACCCTGTGAGTTGGCTGAGGGCCGAAACGATTTGGTTGACCAGCCCCTGGGTTGAGGCTGGCGTTGCCGCAGGCTGAGGAACGGCTATGGTTTGTGGTTGATGTTGTTGGCGCTGTTGTTGTTGGCGTCGTTGTGGCTGCCGCTGAGATTGTTGCTGTAGTTGCCGTTGTTGTCGTTGGCGTTGTTGCTGCTGTAGTTGTTGTTGTTGCTGTTGAATAACCTGCTGCTGTTGTTGCAGACGTTGACGGAGGTCATCTAACCGCTGTTGAGCTCTCTGTTCACGCGAGCGGGTGGGCGTGACCTTTGGCTTTGCCTTGGCACCTGAGCAGCAGTCCTTGGGTGCAGCAATGTGTGGTGCAAATCGCAGCATATTTGGCACGCACCCATTGAGATACAGCTACCTATCAGATGAGTCCGCGAGAAGCAATTGGAGCAATACTTATGGGTTCTCACCACATAAAGTCGTTGCTCCAATGTCAACTTACGGAACATCTTGCAATATCTCAATGGGTGATATGCAAAACACACAACGCACAACTCTGGGTTTTGGGCTGGATCCATTCTGGAATGAGATTAAAATACAAAGAACAGAGGCAGATTAAGGTCGAAAAAAATAGCTTTGGACACATAGACACGACATTGTATGGACAAGAACAAACTAATCTACAGACTTTTCACATAACGGGAGCATGCATAATTTTACTATTGGTCGGGTCACGACGCCACTAGATGTTCTAACATCAGCGACTCTTACGCGCTTATCCCGACCAACGTGTACGGCTTCTATTCTGCCTAACCTCCAGTCGCATGGAGGAAGAAGCTCATCCTTGATGATAACGAAATCACCAGTCTGTAGATCCCGTCGTGGATTCTGCCATTTGTACCTCTTGTGTAGCTCCAGAAGGTACTCATTTTTCCATCGTTGACCAAATTTATGATGGAGTGCTTTCAGTCGTTCCCAGCGATTCAATAACGACAAATTGTCAGGCGGTATTTCTGGCGCGAATACCAAAGGTGCACCGCGCAGAAAATGACTAGGAGTAAGGGCCTGCAGGTCATCTGGGTCTTCTGACATCGGTGATATTGGTCGTGAATTTAGAACACTTTCTATTCGCGCAAGCAGAGTAGAGAACTCTTCAAAATTAAATTTATGTGCACCTGCAATTTTCCTGAAGTGGATTTTGAAGCTTTTAACGCCAGCTTCCCATAAACCTCCCATATGCGGGGCGCTAGGTGGAATGAACTTCCACTCAAGTCCATTAATTGCATATTTATCGGTTATATCCTTGGAGGATTGTTTAAGAAATAACGAATACTCCTTTAGCAATGACTTACTAGCGCCTATGAAATTTGTACCATTGTCCGACATAACTGATTTTGGCAATCCTCGCCTAGCTATAAATCGTGCAAAAGCAGCTAGAAATGCTTCTGATGTTAAACTAGAGCAAGCTTCTAAATGAATGGCTCTTGTAGCAAAACATACAAAGATACATGCGTAACCTTTCATATATGGTGAATTTCGCAAATTGCCAGACTTGATCTGAAATGGACCAGCAAAGTCGACACCCGTATGTGAGAACGGTAATGAGAGAGTGGATCTCTCTTTTGGCAGTGCAGCCATTATTTGCTATTTCACATGTTGTTTGTAACGAACACAGGTTAGACAATGATGAACGCATTTCTTGACTGTTCTTTTTAAACCAGGAATATAGAACTGGCTTCTTACTGCGCTCATCATAAGGGTTATGTCAGCATGGACTAGAGTTTTGTGGACAAACTCCAGAAAAATTTTTCAAAATTGAGAAGAGTTAGGGATAATTATGGGAAATCGCTCATCGTACGTAAGCGAGGCATTAGCTAATCTACCATTAACCCGCATAAGACCTTGAGCGTCGAGAAATGGATTTAGAGTAAGCAGAGAGCTTCTCTTTGAAATATGCTTAGAATCCGAAAGATTCTTTAAATCGTCAGAATAATGAAACTTCTGCGTTAGTCTAATATATACAATTTTTGCGTTATTAATCTCTTCGTGAGAGAGCGTTAAGCTTTCAAACTTAGTTTTCTCTAATCTTTTATTAGTAGAACGTATGAACCTATAAATATATGCTATTACGGCGAGGGCTCGCCGATATGAAGAAAAACTTTGTAATATATTGAGTTCATCTGGAACGGAACAGTGAACTTCAACTTTCCTTTGCTCCATAAGAGCTATGGCAGGTGGGTTAGATTTAGGCAAATTGTCTTGGGAGTCAAGTAGCCACATTGGTCCATACCACCATAAAGAATTTTCTTTAAAATCTTGTGGTTTACAACCTCGTGTTCCAAGATCTGCTGGATTTTCATGGGTTAAAACGTGGTTCCACTTAGCATTACCAACATTTTCAATGATTTGAGATGTTCTATTGGCAACATATGTTTTCCGAACTGATGGATGTTTTTGTAACCATGCTAATACTATAGTGGAATCTGACCACAGGAAAAGTTGAGCACTTTTAAATGAATTGTTAGTTAGAGTTTGTTTAATTAGTTTCGAGAGCAGTAATGCCCCACATAACTCCAACCGAGGAAGACTTACACGTTGCAACGGCGCAACTTTGCTTTTCGATACTAGCAGATTATAATGTCTGCCAGACAAATCTTCCACTCGAATATATATTGTTGCACAATAGGCCTGTTCAGATGCATCACAGAAACCATGGATCCGGATTTTGCTATCTGGATGGAAATGGATCCATCTGGGGATTTGAATGGATCTTAAGTGTGTAAAATCTTCTTAGAAAATGTTCCACCTTGAAAGAGTCTGAGGTTTCACATCTTCATCCCATCCAACCCCATCTTGCCACAATTCCTGTAGTAGGATCTTTGCTTGAACAATAATGGGCGTTAGCCACCTTGCGGGGTCAAACAATTTAGCGACCGAGGACAAAATTGTTCTTTTTGTTACTTTTGATGCGAAATCGGGAATTTCGCATCCACTGAATACCTAACGTTTTCGTAGAGCTCGAATCGTAAACTTTTAAGAAATCTGCACTTAAAATATCTTCAGTTGGAATATTTTCTAATAATTTGCTATTATTTGCCGTAATTTTTTTAAGTGGAAATCCAGCTGATTTTAAAGAATTTATTAATTGACTTTGCGCTTCTAGGGCTGAAGCCAAAGTATGTCCACTAGCTAAAATATCATCGACATATGTTTCATGTCTTAATATGTGAGATGACAAAGGAGACTGTCTCTCTACATCTGTTGCTAACTGCAGCAACGTTCGTATAGCTAAATACGGTGCACAATTCACTCCGAAAGTGACTGTTAACAGCTCGTAATCTTCAATATTGCTTGAATTTTTTGTTCTATACAAAATTCTCTGAAACGGACAATCTGCTTCCGTTACTAATATTTGGCGATACATTTTTTCGATATCTCCATTGAAAACGTATCTATATATACGCCAATTTAAAATAACTGACATTAAGTCAGATTGCAACGTTGGACCAATATGCAATACATCATTCAAATGAAAATGAGCTTTTCGTTTTGCGAGAACCATTAAAGACTACTCTAACTTTTGTAGAAGTGCTTTCCGGTCTAAATACAGCATGATGTGGTAAATAATATGAAAAATACTTTCCATCTTTACAAATTTCGGAAGAATTTGTTTTCCTCATATGACCCAATGTTATATATTCTTCTAAAACATCATTATAAATCTGTTGAAGATCTATTTGTTTTTGTAATTTTGCCTCTAGATGAATATATTGACTTTTTGCTGCGAATCTGGAAGATTGCAAATACAAGTTTTCTGGAAATTCTTGTTTAAAAGGAAGTTTTACAACATATCTACCATCACTTCTGCGATATGTTGTCTTTTTATAAAGTTCTTCACAGTAGAGATCTGTTTCTGATAGAACTTTCGATTTTGGAATTTCTTCTGTTTCCCAAAATAGTTTAAGCATTGAGGTTATTTTATCATTTTCTTCCTTATTTTGAATATTAGCAGTTAGAGAAACGCTATGTAATTTCATTGGGCCATAAATATACCATCCATAGATGGAATTTTGAGCAAGGAGATTGCCTAAGATATTCTTTTGTATTCCATCTTGAATTATATATGGAATTATATCACTACCGATTAGCATGTCTATTTGTGAAGATACCAAGAAATTAGGATCGGCTAATCTTAGATGTTTTATTCCCGAGAGATCAGCGTTTGAAATCGTAAAGCTTGGCATAAATTTGGTTAAATTTGGAACTATTATAACTTGGGTACTGAGTGAGAACTCGTGGTTTTTTCTACACAAAGTTATGGTAGATATTTTACTTGAATTTGCTACCACTGTACCCCCTAATCCACAAATTTCAAAATTTGCACTTTGAGTTATTAAACCAAGCCTTTTTGATATTTTTTTAGTTAAAAATGATCGTTTTGATCCCGAATCTATTAGAGCTCTAACTGTAAATACTTCTCCTAAATGTAAACTTTCTACATTTATGTCATCATCATTGACAGAAAAGTTTGTTTGTGTGTTTGTCTTGTGTACTGTAGACATTGAGCTACATGGTGGTTGGCGGTTTATTGTGTCCTCCGGTTGCTGAGAGGGATCAGCATAAAACGTATTGGACGTTTTGTTTTTATTTGCTTTATTCTTCTTATTATTGGAATAATTATCCAAATGAAGTAAGCTGTGGTGCTTGTTCTTACACTGGACACATGTAAAAACGCTTTGACAATTTGTATTTGTGTGAGCTGAAGACAAACAATTACTACAAATTTTGTTCTTTTCTACATAGTCAATTCTCTGTTTTACTGAAAAGTTTTGAAATTTATGACAATTTCGAATGATATGTGTTTTATTACATAATTTGCAAAGCATATCATCATTCTTCGATTGAGCTTCTTTGTTCGGGTTTTCATATCTAGCTTTATTCTGCTGTGAAGAGATATTATAATTTCTACCCTGATTATGATATGGAACATAAGCTGGGTTTTGACTTCTGAATGTAGATATTCTTTCCATTACCTGATGTCTATTTATTAAAAATTCTTCCATTTCTGCCCAGGAAGGTAAACGAGTTGGAGAACTCAACGATTGCTCCCAAAGAGCTAATGTTTCATCAGGTAAATTTGTGGAACACAAATATATTAGGATTGGATCCCATTGATCGGTTCGTATACCATGAGCCTTTAAAATTGATAAACAATCGCTAATGGTAGTTTGAATCCTGTTAATAGATTCGCAATTTTCAGCCTTTGCTGCTGGTATATTAAATAGAATCTTCAACTGATTATCTACTAAAATGCGCTTGTTCTCATATCGCGCCCTTAACGCGTCCCACGCCAGTAAATAATTCTGATCTGAAAGTGGATATTTAGCTACAATACTACCTGCTTCGCCCTTTGTTTTATTCCTTAGATGATATAACTTTTGAGCCTGTGTCAATCGAGGGTGATTACCATAAATGGCGGTAAACATATCGCGGAATGATGGCCATTCCTCATAACCCCCATAAAATTCCTGAGTATCACAAGGAGGAACCTTTATACAAATCTCCGAATCATTAAATGTGGCATTAATGGGATACATATTCGAAGTATTGAACAAAGTAGAGTTAGTCGGTTGATCGGGCCTTAGACCTTGATTACTAGAAGCTCTGTGCATCTTCAATTGGTCCATCATATTAGCCTTGGTACGTTGATATTCGTCCTTAACCGATCCAAATCTTACTTTTGCCGTGCATTTTTCGCTCTCAGGAATAATATTCTCATTAGTTAAAATTAAATCCTCAGGCTTTTCGAACTGATTGCCAGTCCTCTTCAAGGGACTGCAATTTCGTCTCGAGAAGTGACTCGGTTAAATTTTCCAATGGAGTTATATCAAACTTGGAACAAGATCCACCTAAATTATCGCATTCTAAAGCGAACTTAGCACATAATGTGGAGCCCATTATTGAAAAAGTTCAAATAAATTGTTTAAAATGGAAAATTAAAAAGCCAAATGAGGAAAACTAATATCGAAAAAGCCAAATCAATGAAAAGAACAACTAACAAGTAGAACAGTAAGTGATCTGCACTAATATTATCTAATTTGACCGTAGGTTGAAAAATATTGAGAAAATAAATCCGTATACAAGTCCTATAATGTACCTAATATACCGAATCTAATTGCGTAGAGTGACCGCTAAATCGCGAAAAAATATTTCTAAAAAGTTAAATAAAAAATCTTTTAATTGAAAAAATATTACAAAATAGTTCCGTTTACAGGTCCTATATTGTACCTAATATGCCGGATCTAACAGCGTAGGGTGACCGCTAATTCGCGAAAATATTTTTCCAAAAAGATTTTACTCGAAATTTAATTAAAAATTTAAGTCGATGTTATAATTAGTATTGAACTAATCAGACCGACTCACAATGTGTAGGGAACACACAAATTACAACAAACACAATAATGTATATATGTAATGTATGTTTGTATATATGTTTATTTTGTCTCTTTGTTTTTTACTTTCTTTTGTTATAGCTACGGTATAGCGTATAAAAAAAGAGAATATATTTTGTTATTTTAAGAGATAAAATAAACAAAAAACCACCACCAAATTTTCTTTAATATTTTTAAATAATAATA